GCTTTTTTAAAATCTTGATACAACAGTTGTCAAACTAAAGTGGATTATTAAAATTCCAAAATTTGTAAATAATAATAATTTACTTTTAGTATGAAAGCCCCTTTCCAATAGTGTAACATTCGTAGAGTGTATGTACATTTAAATTTACAGTTCCTGAACTCCAATATCCAGAAATTTTTGACATACTTTCATGTTTTTTTATTTGTATCGTATCATAAAAATTTTAAAAAATCATATTTTGGAATGTCAAAGTTCCTTTTAGTTACCATGAAAATATCCTACGGCGTTCATGTTAACAGCCTACAAAATACATTTCTATTTATTATACTCATTAAAATACGGTAATGGGTTATAGAAGTCTCAATTAAAACAACTAAATATAACGTTTAAACTATGTGTACGGCATGCAGAGAAAGGTTGCTAATATGTCCCACATAATTGAAGGGTGTCATTGCTTGGCACCATATAGGGAGCAAGTAGGAATGCCGCTCAATATAGGAATTGTGCTCGAGCATAGCAGCGAATCTTTGTGTCCCCTGCTGCGATTTTTGGAGGAAACTGGGTTGCTTTATTATATATAGTACTGATAGTTTTGTGTACTTAACGTAATGTATTTATTTGCGTGAATGTTTCCTGTAAGAGAGCTGACGGCGGAATATTGAGTACCCATAGACTTTCAATTAGGTTAGTTAAATAATAGGCATAAATGGTGAGGGACGAATATCGAGTATTCTACCAAAAATTGAGTGAAAAGTATGTAAATAGGAAAGAATGTACTTAAGAATGAGCGAGAGTGTGAATGGGTTTGGATCTAGGAACTGCATTCGTCGGGTGCTGAAATTAATTACCACCCGGAACCAACCTCGGTGGCTGAACTGGCTGGACGGACCAGACCGAGGTCTGACCTCGGACTGCCTACACCCGAGGTGGGTGATTCTCGAGGCCTGTCGGTGATGGATTGTAAATTAAAAAAGATGGACTTGCCGGTGGACTGCAAGAATGATAGGTTCAACTATGCACATGTTTATATGCGAATTGGGGCTTATAAAAGTGTTTAAAAACAAACATTCTTTACAAAAACTCTCCATCATTGAGTGGGATTTCATTTAAATGGGAGAGGCGTGTTTCTGGAAGTAAGGAACACATAGACAGTGTGCATAATAATACGATGAACGGAAGAAAGTTATGTAGCCCATGAAAGGGTTAACGGCATAACTCGATTTATTATTAAATATTTATATCATTACAGTCAAACTTCAGATTGATTCGAATCTAAATAAAAATTCTTTTGATTGGTACATTTTGTTCTTATGCTTCAATGTTTCTATAAAACATCATTAGGTGTTCGTGGTAATAATTGTTTAATAATTTGTAGTGAAGATTAATTTAAGCTTGGGAGACATTTGATCAGTTGACATTGCCGGCGGTTTGTTGTCCTGTTTTGACAGGTGTGAGGCGGCGTCTTAGACAATGAAGTCTAATCAACATCCGAAAAGAAAATCAAATATGCATTTCAGTTGATGATGACTCAAGAACACTAAAAAAACACAAGTGTCGTGAACCGTCGTCTTTCATAGTCATAAGGTATCCCGAACGAATTGAACGAACAGGCACTTCGAAATTAACCCAAGTCATTTAAATAAAAGAACAACGCCGAAATACGATATCCGGTGGATAGAAGTCGAAATCGGCCGTTATCGAACGTCAGAATGAAACTGAGTTGCATCAGCTTTACGGTTTGAATAACAAGTCCCGTTCCGTCGAATTATCTCCTCTGTACCTCCCAGAATCGAAAATTGCATTAATCATTCCGCGGTGCGGGTGCATATTTGACGAGGACGGGCATTGCGTCCTTACACGCCGAAATAAAAGTGAACGGAATAATTGCAACCATTACGGAGTGCAGTGCGCATAGCAGGCTATTAAAAATTAAAATGACATTTTTGGTGGACCCTTCAGCCCGGTGTAGGCCCCGTGCCAATCCGTTTGCCCATTACCTGTTCACTTTACTAATTTCATTAGCCATTCTACCGGCCCCAACCTAATGTATATTTTAATTTCCCTGCCCCTCTCTACGTTTTGGACACTTTTCCGACCAACAGGGTTTATATGAAAACGGCGCATCACCCCTCTAACAAAACGTCAAGTTTTCATTTCTACCCTTTCTACCTGGATGTAACCAAGTCGCAGCCACGTATGTTATGCACTATTTTTTTCTTGTGGTTTTTTTTAATACAATTTGTGAATTATTTACCGTGAGCCAATTATTAATTAATGGTTAAAATCACTATCATTAATGTAAACATCGACAGTAAATTAATGTAAATTTACCCTAATCAGAATTTTAACATATGCTTTTAACAACTAAAAGCGAATACACTTAAAATACATTGGAATAATTCATGTAGTTGAAAAAATTCTTTATATGTTATTATCTTTTTTTCAGTTGTCTTGTTGGGAGTGGGCAAGTTCAAGACAAAACCAAGATCTATTCCAATAAAAAAAAAGTTTAAAAATAAAAGATACTTTATTTATATTCCATTAATTTTTGCTCTTTGACAATGTAGAGCTTTTACATTAGATTTTCTTAACTCGGCTTTAACAATCGATCTCAAAACACTCTACCATGACCTAGTCAATGGAAAAATTACGTCTCAACAAGAAAAGAGAACTTCAATTATATGGCAAGAAGAAAAATATGTCAAAATTTTCTAAATTATTGAGTGTTTAATTATCGAAGAAAAAAATTGAGACAATAAAATTTGGGGTTGCATCAACTTTTTCAAGGTTGAAGGGCGGTTTTGTATACAATTAATTTTTGTACTTTAAGAATGAAGGGATTTTACATTTGATTTGATTTTAAAATGAAACATTCACCAGCATTTACATCTACAATAAAAGTGTGTGGTGTTTAGTGACCGTTAGTTAACGATTATTTGGAAATCGTGAGATGCGTCTGGAGTGATGTAAGTTTTAGAAAAACATTTTCTTTATCGTGCCAACGTTTTGATCTTTATTGAGATCTTCAAGGTCTAGGATTGAAAATGATTTATACGATAGAAATTTTAGATTCAATCAAAATATTCCTCTACACAGAAAACAAAGGTTTTGGGTGAGTACAAATTCTTTGATTGAATCCAAAATTTCTAGCATTGTATAAATTCATTTTTTTCACATCCTACATGTATTTGTAAAATTCAAACAATTTTTATAAATCCCAGGCCCTGAAGATGATCTCAATAAAGATCGAAACGTTGGCGCGATAAAGAAAATGGTTTTCTAAAACCTACGTCACATCAGACCGAATCTCACGATCTCCGAATAATTATGTAGACTAAGTTGATCTACCACAGGTTGGTTTGAATTTAATGCTAAACTTCTGAAATCGCACAGAATGTATCACACACTTTGGATATCCTTAATTTTTTTTAAAATACTATTTGGCATATAGGAAATATTCAATAAATAAAAATCCACCCAGGGAGCTTGATAAAACATACCCATTAATTGGACTACCGGAAACGAAAACACGGTACATTTCGAAGATTTTAAGATTAAATTTGCATCTTTCTTAAAAATTTGCACTTTGGTATTTGATTTTCTTTTAAATTGAAACACCCAGCAGTATTTACATCTACATTAAAAGGGTGATTGAAGCATTTTTACAATTGACCCAGTAGCTGGAATGTTACGTCTAAAAATAAAAATCAGAATATTACGCGATGTATAAAAAAACAAGTCAACCATTTTCAAAATTATTAAATTAATTTTCAATTATTACTTATAATTTGTTTAATTGTTCTAAAAATCTGGTGTCGTTTGTACGTAAACGTTTAGTAGAAATAGTTTTATCGTCTTTAATATTCGTTCCGAAACAACCATCAAAGGGAGAAAAGTTTGGGGTAATTTTAGGGGTTGACGGAGCTGTACCGAGACAGGACGAGGATGCTCGCGACGACTTCGTCAGGTTAGATTATCGAGTCCTCTTCCTTGGTCGACGATTAGACGGCGGGGTGCGGAGAATAAGCGTGAGATTTCATTAAATATCTTATCCTGTGACGAGGAAGAAACGGATGATTAGGAAGTCGCCCTCTCTCTCTCCCACGTGAACCAACTACAAGATAAGTAGCGAGAGGATGGGCTTAAACGGTCCAATCAACCTGTAGCCGGGCAGTTGAGCATCCTGCCTAGTAAGCTCTCTTCCTTTTCATCCGACTGTCGTACCTTCGATCATCTTAAGGTGTCAAATTACGTGAAATTAACAGAAAAATTAAAACGGTCTTGGTTTAATGTGGCGACTTCGAATTAATACGTATATAGTTTCTCCGTTCCAAGACGCTTTGATATGAGGTTCCGGTTGAAAATCGATTCAAATTTATTTATTTTTCTCCTCGGTAGCTTTTTAGCTGTCCCCTTTAACAGAAGGGGTGATAAAGAAAGGCATGAGGCGAGTTGTGTTTACCGGTCACCTGGCTGTTCCGCAAACGGCTCGACCGTGACTCCCGACGGGAAATATCGCAGGAAGTAAACCACCCTCCCTCCGTCCCGAGTACTGAACCAGTTGCTGTGCCTTGAAATAAATCGAATTGATTGTTTATCGAGAATAATTATTACGGTAAAGCGAGACCGGGGGAAAATCAATTTAAATTATTCCTGAGATATTCTTCGGGGGGGGGGGTTTATAAAGTTTTCTTTGCCGCCGTACGTGCAGCGATAGTAAAAAAAAAGTAATATTAGTGTTAATATTATAATTATTGATAATGTTAGTAATAAGAATGTGTGCAATATGCCTCGGGGAATAGTAGGACCCGAGGTGGGATATGTGAAGTGAGTAAAAGAGAGGAGCAGATGTAAGAAAGGAGGGGGCTTTGGGCTTGGCCGGGGCCGAGGGCAGGTGTGGCCCCCCTCGCACGAGCCTACTCGGAGGCATATTGCACACAGAGAGGAGCGGAGCCGGGAAACACAATAGCTGACAGTTGGCGTTGTTTTGCACCTTGCAGGAGTGAGCATGGGAGAATAGAGGGGGAGCGAGGCTACTTGACTCCCACCCTGCCGGAGGCCGACCGAAGGGACGGCCAATCACAGGGCGTTTTTCTTATGATGTCATCAGAGGAGGAACCCGACTGTTTCGGTTTGTACGGAGACAAACTTTTGAAGAAGACCAAACGTTCCAGACAGCGTGTGGACGCCGGAGAGCCGCGTAACAGCTATTCATCTATCCCGAATTTCAGTTCGCGTCCTAGTTTCTTGAACAGCGGGTTGTACGGTGCGTTCCTTTCTCAAAATCAACACTTGGGACTTCTCGGGCAGGGCTTCGCGCCCGCCAAAATGCTGAATGAGCTTCTAGGGAGACAAGTAAAACAGGGAAGTGAAGGTGCGAATCCGGCTGACGGTATGATGACTCTAGACCCGGCCGGCTCGGAGGGAGCCGTGAATTTCGAGTGCCTCGGCTCTGGGGCCGTGATCAGGAGAGGGTTGGACGAAGACGGCAGCCCCCCGCCGAACGAGATGGCCCATCACATGTTGAGGGACATCCTACAAGGGAGGAAGAAGGATTTTCTCGCTTTGGAGCAGGAGCTGAGAGGCGTCAACGCCGGCGGGAACAACGATCCTCACAGTCCCGACAACAACAACAGTATCAACAATAACAACAACAACGAGGTAAAGTCGAACGCTTTGTTAAACGGCGGTGATGTGAATCATTCCGAGTCGAACTGTGCCGATATAAAGCCGGTGATGAACGGTGTCCTGGACCTAGACAACAACAGCGGAGGTGAAGAGGGAAATCAGGGCGAAGAAGTGTTGAGCGACGACGGAGGGAAGCAAAACCGCGGGGGCGCGGACACTGACGACGGCAATCTCAACACCGGCAATGTGAGTGATTCCGAGCAATCCGTCGTCTCGCCGTTGTCAGATCACGACATGAAAATGATCAAACAGGAGCCTGAAGACGGGTCGAAAGAAGCCGGCGGTCACAAGACGGAACAGCTGGAGCTGAAGAGAGCCAGAGTCGAAAATATCGTTTCTTCCATGAGATCGAGCCCGTCGTTGCCCACACAGGTGAACGGTTGCAAGAAGAGGAAATTGTACCACCCCCAACAGCACGACAGTGCCGCCGAGCGTTATTCAAGTATAGGGATTAATATGAATATGGGTATGTTTATAGACGATGATACTGTAGATAATAACTCTTTAGATAATAGTGAAATAAGGCAAAAGAAAGTAGAAAAAGACGCGTTAAAGACTCAATTAAGGACTATGCAGGAACAGTTAGCGGAAATGCAACAGAAATACGTTCAGCTGTGTACGCGTATGGATCAAGATTCAGAATGTCAAAACGAAGAAGAAGGGAGTGATATCGATCAGGACAATAATAGCTTATCGCTACCGGAAAAACCTATCAAATCTTCTCCTACGACCACGCCGGTAAAAGAGGTTCCGTCTTCGACGACGACCCAGCCGACCACGCCTACTCAGTCTACGATAACGCCTTCGATATCGAAAATCATTTCAAATAAATTACAGCCACCGCACCTGAACGCGCATCAGATGCAAATGCCGCCCAATTTCAACGGGGCTTTGTCTTTGTTGCAGCAACAAGTTTTACAGGACCAACACCCTATCAGTCATCATCATTCACATCATCATCATCACCATCCTCAGATTCCGCACCCGGCGTTGAGCAACGCCGCGGCGATGTATTTAGGCGTCAGCCATAAATTCTTTATGGAACAAGAGGCTAGGCTAAACAAAGAAGCGGCGATTGCGGCCGAGCAGCAGCAGCAACAACAACAGCAGCAGCAACAACAGCAACAACAACAGCAACATCAACAACAACAACATTTAACTCAACAAGCTCAACACCATCAACAACAACATCATTCTCAATCAGTACAGCCGAGTCAACCGTCCCAAAATCAGTCTCACGGGCCTCAAAATCCGCCGACGCCCACTCAACAAATTCCTACCAACACACAAACTGTGCAGACGAACCGTCAATCTCCAACGCAACAAGTGAAGAACGCAGAGTTTGCCGATAGGATTTCCCTGCTGAGAAGTAACCCCATGACCCAGATTCCAGGACCGGATTTAGAAGGTTTGGCGGACGCTCTAAAGGCGGAAATCACGTCTTCCCTGGGCACTCTGATCGATTCTATTATGGCCAGATTCGTTCAGCAAAAACGATACATGGGTAAACAATCCGAAGCTGCTGCCGAACAGCTGAATAAGGACCTGATGCTGGCGTCTCAGCTCTTGGACAGAAAATCTCCGAGGGCGAAAGTGATAGACCGAGGTAATCCGGGTCCGGAGAGGCCCAACGGACCCAACGGAATGAACGGCGTGTCAACACCCACAGCGCCGCCGAGAATCAACGGAACCGTTTTCCCTTCATTATCCGTGCCACACCATCAAAACAACAGCAGTAGCAATGGAAACGGGAATAATCCTGAAAACAACATCAACACGTTGAATCTGCCTCACATCAGGCCATCGCCGAACTCGTCCATTTTTCAGACGCCGAAACCGCCGACGAGTATGAGTTCCGCCACGGCCGCTCTTTATTCGTCGATGAGTGGAATCCCCGTACACGGAAATCCATTTTGTATGTCCGAGTCAAGGGAAGGAGCTCCTGAACAGAACGAAGCTCTCAGCTTAGTCGTACCTCAGAAAAAGAAGAGGCACAAAGTCACTGATACGAGGATTACACCGAGGACTGTGAGCAGGATTTTGGCCCAGGACGGTCTCGGCGGACCTCCTCCGACAAATATCGAGCAGAGTCCAAAGTTCAACAACGTCATCCCTTCGACAAGTGGTAACACGTCAGACTCGCCGCCCCCGAGACAATACCACGCGCCGCCTCCACCGATGCTGCCGGTATCCCTCCCGACGTCCGTCGCGATACCCAATCCGAGTCTCCACGAGTCTCAAGTATTTTCTCCTTATTCTCCTTTTTATCATCAAAGCCACCCTCACATACCTTCCGGAAGTCCTCCGGGGATGAACGAAATGAGGGATTCTCCGCCTTTGCCTCATCCGCCGAGTCTTCTTCACCCGGCTCTCCTGGCAGCCGCTCAGCACGGCGCGTCTCCCGACTACGCCAACATGAGGGTGAATTCGGCCCTAGGAACTGGAAACGACAACGTCGACAGGACTTCGGACTGTAATTCCGGAGACGGCCCCTACGACTCCATCACGCCGACAATATCCTTTTTATTGCAATTATTTTATTACGCCATAAATGTTTGTTTATCTTAATAATCAAATTATGTCTAATTTCTTTCAGGAAGTCTTTCTTGATCAAAGGTCTCTGGACGTTTAAATATTTTTGCTTTGACATTTATATTGCAGCGCGATGTTACATTATTAAAAGACAAAAAGAACCGAGTATCCCGTTAGAAAGGGAGGCTATCGTGAGAACTAACAAATGCACAAAAGGATATTTATAAAGACCCGCCTATAAAAGAAGCGGTCTCGGATCCTCTAATATTCAAAAGCCGTGTATTTATTTCTAGAGATCTTCCCGGCCTCCTTCACAAGGAATTCCCTTTGATTTGTAATAATCTCACGTTCTAATAGCAATTTATTTGTCACATGCACCAAATCAAATAGAAAACGTGATAAATGAGACCCAGTTTAGTTTTCCCCCTTCGAGCGTCGAACTTCGGTAATAAGAAGCAAATCTAAATAGTTTGATCGGTTTCTTTGAAAAACAAAAACAAAAATCGTGTACAATGTTTAATTCCATTTAAAACTTTGACGTGGCAGAAAATAAATCCAGATACGAAGCCCTACGAAAAGGGGAAGTCTCGTTTCTAATCTACTCGAGTAAATTCGAAAGGATTCCAAACAAACGAAGTCCTACAAATAGATTATACACCTATCGTCGATTATTAACCCTCCCCCTTCCACTGATCAAGAAAGATACAATTAATCATTTATTTGTATTTCACGCATTGCTATTTTTTATTGTTGAAATTTACTATATAAGCCTTGACTGACATTATGTTTACTCGTCGACCCTGACGCCGATGCATCTGCGGAAAGCCAAGCTGATGTTCTTCTGGGTGAGGTATCCCAGCAGTGCTGTCTTGAAGATGTATTTCCCTGACATCAAATTCAACAAGAACAACACTGCTCAACTTGTCAAATGGTTCTCCAATTTCAGGTAACTTTCATATATCAAATATTTCATTTACACGCAAGTTTCGAGTAAAATTCACGATTTTTAAAAAAAATCTAATAAAATCGGATCATTAAAACCGGTTTAGTCGACTTTTTTGTAATCAGTTATTGATTAATGAGCTTTTCAATCTCGAAATCAACTGTTTTGTAGTAGCGTCGTTAAAAAAATTTAATTAACGCTCTTGACACTAATTAGCGAGCAATTTTCAACCCTTACACCCGAACATATGAATTTTGCACGTTCAAATGTAAAAAAAAAAAGTGATTTTACTAATTTTACTAATCCGAGGATCGTATCTCAATTGTAACCGGTTTCCTTTCGAAAGTGATTTAAATGAAAACGGCGAGAGCGGCGGTCAGCGCAAAGATCTACCATTCAGCTCTAATTTCCATCTTCAATCCACTCTTTTCAAACCCATCCCCTTTTGATCTCTTCCATTTCCAACGTTGGCCCGTGTTATTTCCATCTCTTGTAGCAGTTACACAAACGTTCGGCGAATTATCATCAAAGCGCCTCTATTAGCACTCTATCAAAAAATGAAAATATCTTTTAGAAAAAAGTTCTGGCCGAAAGGGTTTGATGAAGGAAAAACTACTTACCCTTCAACTTTCACAGTAGGTGTATTATAAAAAAAATTCGAATTATAATGAGATTCGCAGTGTAAAACTGGAACCATCACATGTTAAAATCGCCTCCTTCGACTGCGAATCATCAATTAATTACTTGAAACTTGAGATCAGCTTTTCAGTCGAGTTTCGTTTTAAAAGTTCTGTTTACTTTTCATTTATTTTATTTTATTATTTTTTTAAGACGAAATAGTTCGATTACAAATGGGATCGTCTTAAATCTCGTCGGCAAAAATGAGGATATGACATATTATTTTCCCTCAGTTTTTTGTCGTAAAGTAGAAAATATTTTACAATTAAAACGCCTACTAAACGTTATTAAACTATTTTGTTTTATTGTTATTTTAATTTTACGTTTTAATAGACGCTGTAGTTTGTTAGAGATTTGTTTTAGAAGAATAGCTTTCAAAGATCAAATTGTAAACGGGAAAGATTCATTTATCCGTCTCTGAAACTTTAGTTTATGACCCGTTTGTTTTGAGGTGGCCAAACGTGAAGGGGTTGAGGGTGGGCTCGCCTCGTCCCGCTGGCACAACGACAGCTCGACAGTCAGGACTAATTGCCACGGCGTAATTCCTTACTTCATTCATTCCTTAACTTCCGTAATGAAGTACAACTACCCCTAAGAGAAAATAGAAGAAATAACTGCCTCTTGTCGCCCATAATTTGCTGAAGCTCGTCATCCCTTTTAATTTAACCCTTTTCCTACTTCCCTAATTAGAGAGAATCGATTCCGAGACTAGACACTTATTTTACGCGTTGACTTGCTAAATTTTTTTTAAAAATATTTATGAAATTTTATTAACGTCTGTATTAACAAACAAAAACTTTTCTGTTCCTAGGGAGTTCTACTATATCCAAATGGAGAAATACGCCAGACAAGCAGTCAGCGAAGGTGTCAAAGCATCCGATGACCTGCATGTCAGTGGCGATTGTGAGATTTACAGGGTTCTCAATCTCCACTACAATAGGAACAACCACATAGAGGTAATTTAAAAAAAATTACTTTTTAAATCGCAAAACGTTTCAATAAAAACAGTAAAATCAAGTCATGTTTAAATTTGTATAAAATAAATACCTATTTATTTAGAAATCGTAAGATGCGGTCTGGTGTGATGTAGGTTTTAGAAAAACATTTTCTTTATCGTGCCAACGTTTCGATCTTTATTGAGATCATCTTCAGGGCCTTGATTGAATATATAAAAAAAAATATATTTTACATTGTATAAATTCGCTTTTCCACACCCAAAATGTAATTGTAATATGTAAACAATGTTTGTAAATCCCAGGCCCTGAAGATGATCTCAATAAAGATCGAAACGTTGGCACGATAAAGAAAATGTTTTTTTGAAACCTACATCACACCAGACCGCATCTCACGATTTCTAAATAAATATCGATTAACGGTCACTAATCACCACACACAAAAATAAATACCGTTGATATCAATCACTTCTTACTCTTGTAGCAAGCTTGTATTTTGTCAGGCATGTGTAAGTACGTAACGACAACGCGTTATGCGGACAGTTACATATTTTAACAGGCGATTTCAAAATCCTTAATGAAAACTCTGACAATGTAAGGACTTTGAATTTAAAATAAAATTTTGTTTTAGGTGCCACCTAACTTCCGCTACGTTGTCGAGCAAACATTGAAAGAATTCTACAAAGCCATCCAGACCGGAAAAGATACCGAACAGTCTTGGAAAAAGAGTATCTACAAAATAATCTCACGGTTGGACGATCCTGTTCCTGAATATTTTAAGTCTCCAAATTTCCTTGAACAGTTGGAGTAAAGAAGAAATAGTGACTAAGACTATTTACATACATCTGTAAACTGTTTCCTGAGGGTTCCTTACAATGGACTTGCCTCCCTTGCCGTCTACGGTCCATTTAGTTTTTGAAGGTGGCCAGCCAGTGTATAAAGTGATGTGTATATTCCTAACACATTGAAAACCTGTTTGTACATATTGTTTCTTAGTTGAGTGGCGAGAGTTAATAACGTTGAGAAAGTAAATTTATATTTTAAAAAAATTTAAATTTTTAAAGAAGTCTATGAAATAGACTTAAAGTAGGGTTGTAACAAAATTGTTACCGTTAATAAATATCATATTCCATAGAGCATAGTCTGAATTGAAAGATTATATACGTAATAGTGTATGAAGAATATTTCCTATTGGATGTTCGTGTGATTCGGTTGGTAGCTCACGTTGTAGCTTTCCTCGCCACCACTTCCTCTTTATAAGTTTTGTAAAAATTATTTTTAATAAAAATTCATTATTATATTAATTTAATTAATAAATATAAATATAAATAAATAAAAAAGATATATATATATTATATAATTTCCAAAAAGAAATGTTTAGGATTATTGTATTTAATTTTACGTTATATCAAATCTTTATGGTAAAAATTTATGGTATATTAAACCAGATCAAAAGAATTTAAAAATAGAACATATAGTATAAGTTTACTTGTTATAAGCAGTGTTTTCATAGGAATATAATCACATATGCACAAGGTTAGTTAATTTATTGCCAAATTGTAATGGTGTACATAGAAGCTTGGAAGTATAATTATTGATTTTAATATTTGGGGAATGGTAATAAATAACTTAACAGTGATTATATTCCTTCAAGTGTGCGCTAGTCCAAGTTGAGCGAAGACTGTTCATTAATTATTTTATTTGACTTCCACCAGGGATATTCGCAGCCATCGACTACACCTCGCAATTTTTGGGACTTTTACGTTATACAAATTTAAATAAGTCACAAAATTATTGTTAAATATAAAATCAAATTGTGCAAAGACAATACAATGTGGCAAGGAAAATTTGTTGGCCTTTAAAAATTTTGATGAATCCTATTTTTTAATAATTATACTTTTAATCCATGTTTGGACTAAGGTGAAGAATATTTCATCTTCATATTTCTTTAAACGTGGAGCTTTTGGCGATACTAAAACTATTTAAGAAAATATATATTATATATATAAAAATTATACTGGCTGTGAACTACCCTCGTGAGTCGAACCCTATTTGTCTTATTATAGCTGATTTTAGGATTTATATTATTTTTTTCTTTCTTATTACAATTTTTGGTATTATTTTTTTATATGATTTGTTTAGCACTTCATGTCACAATAGCACTGCATTATTATTTTAGAACTATAATCTCAATAGTTCCCACTTGATCTCACAAAGCAAGTTTAATCATTTTAACCTTAATTTTAATTTTGTTATTAAGATTTGTTGTATTTCCCCGCAATATGTATCCAATCCTCAAAGGTGTGGTGAGTTTCCCTAGTCAAATACAAATGTTTTTACGTCAACCCAATGATTTTTGTATGTTTTCACATTGTATCCTGTGTTGTAATTAGCATACTAGTTCAATTTGACATGGCATACTACTCGCATTTTCACAAATGAAAATAATTAAAGAAAATTAAAATTCCTATTCCACTAGTTTTGTGATATGATAAATTATACACTGCTACTATTACTTACATAAATTAAGGGAAATTAAAATTTTGATACCTGCATTTGATTAAGCCTTTTTTTATGTAAACTTGAGTAGAGGCTTTCTAAAGATTAAAAAAAGAAGAAAAATGAAAAAAAAAGAAGATTCGATGATATTTTCGCACATAAAAGTTAACTCCTAAAGTTAGTGTCAAATTGTGAACGTTTTGTACATTTTAAAATTTAGCAAATATGATATAAAATTATTAAATTCCTATTTAATATTTCAAAATGGTAAATAGTGATGTACATTTGTGTGTTGTTGCTCAGAGTTACGTAAGTATATCTATACATATTTTTAAATGTTTGTCACATTTTTAAAATATGTAGACATATAGGAACGTAAAAGAATGATTGTGTGTATGATTGAGTTGTGGTATGAGTAAGTGCTTACCTCGCAAGAAAAGTGCGACATAACGGTTGCGAGATGCAAGGGACCCTATTGACCCAACTTAGTTCCTCTGCTAAACCTTTGCCTACAGAGAAGACAGTTTACAGATCACCTTTTGCCAAAGTATATCCTTAAAACGGTACCAATGTGTGTTGGGACCGGCAGTTTCAATCACCTTTCCCCCTCATCCAACTTGGGTTATTACTGCATGCCTCAACACTCACTAGACAAGCATAAAATTGCAAAAAAAAGGACACATTTAAGAAAAAGGGCGTCAAACAAAATAATCAAAATATTTATTCTGTTTTGTTGGTTTTATTCTTTTTTTTGAGCCCGTACAGATATCTCTGCCATACATAACATATTAACGATAATAACAAGGATTCCATGATAAAACTGGTACACAACAGTACATAAGATAACTATATATAAATGTACATATGCATACATAGAAAGAGTATGAACGATTTTTAATTTACGAAGCCTATCATGCAACATACACATTCACATAAATAATAAAGTACAGTCTCCATGATAATAATAAACTACATACTTATATGAGTGTTTGGTGAGCAGATAAACATTGACGATCAACACATACAGACGAGTCTAGCTAAATACATAACAGCATTATTGTATTTTATAATTTATATAAATATAGTCTTTGTTAGGCCATAGCCCAGGACTCGGTCGGCCCTTGAATGGTAACCCTGAGCCATTCCTTAGTTCCATTGTTAACCACCCCCAGCCCCCAATGTAATTGTTATCCTGTAGTAGATACTAACAGTTTCTTATTCATAATGGTTGTTGTATAGTGAATTTGAGGGGACATGTATTACCCTTCTTGTTTATTTAATTTCTTATTTTCTTTAAATAATATATCTGGCTATTTTAATTTTGTTGTCATGTAATCGGTTCATTTTTCTGATTCCAGCGTGTTCAAGTCAATATAATAAATAGATTGAAGCAAATCTTATTTGGTTATTCTTTTTGGACGTTTTTAACTGGCAGTAACGTACAATATCACAGACAGGTATAAATATATAATATATATTTTTATTCAAAAATATATATGATATATATAATACTAAATACGTGTGTACAACAATTTTTTCGGATCCGTTTTGAATTTAAACCACGGGTGCTATCTTGTTATGATTTTATCCCATGTTTGTCCCCATTGTTTTATTTAATGAGTCCTCTCTTCCTCTTATATTAATTTAGTCCTTAATTTTAATCATTTTGTTTTACAGGATTAATAAAACAAATTTCATTGATATCTTGGCAAAGTTTAGGATTACCCCTTTATCAAAAAGAAAAAAAATTAAAAATGTATAAAAAGGTCCCTGTTCACACAAAGTACAAGCTTATTCAAAAAAGCACCTTCGCGCCTTATCTTATTAAAAAAAAAAATATATCGTTATAAGCCAAAAGTGAAAAAATTGTGTGTAATTTTTAACCAAAATCTGCCTTAAATTCTATATTTTCTTATATATGACAAAGAAATGAAAAAATTTTTAACTACTTAGTGTTAATGATTTGCTGTAGTTGAAGAGAAAAAAAATCACGTGTTTTGGAAGCATAATATATTATGTTTATATATAAAGTTAATGTATATTTCATTTATTTGTATATGTATCTGTTATAGTTTGGTTTACCCATGGTTTTACAGTAATGCTATTATAGAAAGGGTTATGTAACTTTATAATTAAGAAAAGTTACATGATATTTTGTTACAATACTAGTACATAGTTCAGTTTTCAATGTTGAACTGTAGTATATGTGAAATGTTACCCGGTAGTGGGCCCCAATAAGAGGCCTAAGTTAACTCGTTAAAAGGCTAACATCATGTTAGCCATTTACACTGACAGCATTAACGCCGCCTAGACGCAGTACACATCAGTTCAAATCTGGCAATGTAGATTGTACAACCACAAGTTAAATACTATTTATAATAATATCCATTGTATCATTTATAAGATATATATATCTATATAAATATACATATATAACAATGCATATAAAATGATAATTATAATATTTATATGTATATGAACATATACATATATATATCTAATATTTATAAAGAGTGTAAACTGTGTACAAATTAACACTTTACAATGGTGATTATATGTATTGATAATCAAATTTGTAATAGTTTTAATACAAATGACTTTGAAGGTTAAACTAAAGAATTTGTGTGCAATATAAATAAATATAAGACAAAGCAATATTATAGCGGTTGTGTGGTAAGAAGTAACTAACTAAACTAATAAATTTATAATTTAAAATATAGTTTGCAAAATGTTCAGGTATAAATCAATTCAGATATCATGGTGTATTGCTCAGTGTAAATAATTTTCCTTTTGTAAAAATGGTACATTGTCTCATTTTTTAGAAAGACAAAAATGAAGAAAAAAAAGATACATATAGTAAATTACATTATATTAGTTTTTTATTATTTTTTTTATTTACGACATTCTTTGTATTGCGTGCATTGTTTCAAAGATGCGGCCTGTTCTCAAAGTTAACAGGATTCAAGAATTTTTTTTTATTACCTCGGTCAAAACGGACACTTTATAAAACTCAGGCCAACAATAGCATGAAGGCAACTAAAAAATCAAATCTAACAGGTTATCTAAAATGTGATATGAAAACCAGTTTGATTTTCTAAAAAATATTTAATTAATTAATAAAACACTCATTCCAAAATCACTAAGGGCCACATCGTCCGATCTAAAGTGCCTTCAAACACAAAAAAATTAATTTTTTTAGAAAAATATTTATCGGCCCTACATAGACCATTCGCATAACCAAAACAGGGCGAATGCTTGCAACGAAGCCGCAATAATTTTGTTCAATATAAAAAATAATAAAAACCAAAATTGTAATTTAATTGATAATGGGGCCCACTAAGCAATCCCAGTTACTGATTCATTGTTAAATCCATCGACAAACTTTGTGTTTTTAATGATGGACAACTTCCTTTTATTAAAATAATCTGTTTGTTTTTTATATGGTTCTTAATGATAATATTAAGGACAATGTACTTCATGTATTTACAAAATAACAGTTTTGCTGATGTCTTGCATGCATTATTGGTATATATTAGTCACATTTCTGGATTGTAGGATTACATTATGAAATATGATTCAATCAAACAAATAACAGTGTTTTATTAGAATCAGCATTGCTGCATTAATTTGATATTAAAGCAATTCGAATGTAAAACTTAACAAATTTTTGCAAAGCAATGCTTGGACCTTGTCAACCCTTTTTCCTGCTACTCCGTCATCAGCCAATTTTGTTACAAATACATGATTTATCAAATAACAATTCCATTTAGTTTGCCATATGATTTATC